TTAGCAAGTATCAAACAATTATGTTTCACTTTTTACATTGCTTTTCATATTTAGTCCATACTCGTTTGAAACCTGTGCATTCAAACATTTTATATTTTCCTATCTCCAATCATTGAGGATAACGATATTAGCCCATACATCAGATTATAATGGTTACATCGTAGACTGTCGTGCATGATTGGTAGTAAAAACAGATGATTATAGTGATGCAGTAATACCAACCTTGATGAACAGTTGTCACACAACCTCGACTTCAAGTTGGTACTCCTGCTAAGCTTACGTCATGATTTGGTAAGGCCGAGAGAATTGCAGCCAACCAAATATTTATAAAATATTGTTTATATGTTCATACGTGTACATTAATTTTACAAATATATGACACAAAATTGTAACAGTCAAAAAATTTTTCAAGAAGGATTTGATAACAATTTATCAACCTTGTAAAATACATTGTTACTGTAGTATATTTTATGTACAAATTAGCTCATATAACTTTTGTTAAATGTGAACACATTACGCGCTTGTCTGGCAGATGAAAGTTGATAAGACAATAGTCTCGTTACTGACTAAAATCGGGTGTTCATTGAGCTAATGACTTTTCTCAAAATCGAATCGGCGACGTTTTGATTTATCAACGAGCACTTTAATCACTGTTGCAACTTTGATTATAAACTACCCAACTCGAACCTTTAACGTTGTGATGGTTAACCAATAAATCCACTCAACCCAACTATAATTTGATAATTATCAAACGCTTATTCCGCGTATAACTATGTTAGTTGACATTTTATATTAATTTTCTTCTCCGTTGCTGCCAGAGGTTGCGTCGTCTGCAACGGCTGCATCTGTCTGCGGCTGCGCTGTGTCTGCGCATGCGTTCACTCTGCGGCTGCGCTCTGTCTGAGTATGCCCTCTCTACGCCAGTGACTGCGCTACACGGAAGCTATTTGACCTTCGCTGCCGTCATGATTGTCGTCGCCCACTATTATATACTCATTTATATACATACAGCCACTGATGAGGCACCGGCTAGTCATTTGTTAAATACGCAAAAACTATTAAAGCGTAGCGGATTCATGATTATGTCGGCCTCTCATTTCCTGACTCAATCCCGGTGTCTCCTCTTTTTGCACAGCTTACTCGTAATTTGCTGCTCTCCATGAGATTTCAATTCCAGCCACTTCTTTTGTTGGTTATGTTTTGTTGTGGCCATTTGAGCTGACCGCATCAGTTGAGTTGAGTAGTGGAGGAAAATAAACTTACAACACTAATGTTATATTGGGTCAAGAATTGTAATAACATAATTTACTTCGTTCGGCGTAAAAATGGTGTATTAGTAGAATTACCAACAAACTACCCACTAAGTATCTTAGATTTTTAACTACTTTAGAAAGCAATCTATATAATTTGTTACTGTTGAATATGCATTCCATATTTATACCACTTTCATATATGTTCCGTTGAAATTTTTTTACTGTTATTCGTGTGTTTTTCAGTGGTACCATACCGTTCTTATTTTGATTTGAATACAAAACAACAAAAGTACTACTCTAATTTGTACAACAGAAGAAACTAATTGTTGATTCAAGACTCCCCCTTTGACTCAACAGGGAACGTAGACGCTATACTGTGATTCTGTGCTTCATCGATGATAAACTCGCGTAATTGTGACAGTGGTAATATACAAAATTACTTTATGGTTGGACAATATTCAACCACTGATCTTCAATCTTCTGAACCATCACGTTTGTTTCATACTTTCATCGTCTCTATCCATGCAACAACAACTTTAAAGTCATCAACCGACAATCACAGCAACAATGACAATTCCAAGTGAAGGCGTCGATCTATCAAAGATGGAATCAGCATCGCCGATTAATTAACAATGGGCCGCTGCGATGCAAAGTGGGAACCGACTAAAAAGATAACAAACGAGCGGCCAAGCAATTTTAGCGGGAGGCTGCATGCTGAGCCCATTATGTGAGGGTTGATTGATTGATTGATCGGCAACCATTGTTCCTTGATCACTTCTATGTGGCAACGCTTGACCTCTGGCTCGGCGATGGCAAATAAGGCCTTTCCCTGACGTGTATCGGTTGTCACCGTGTACCTCGGCGACGTTCTGGTCAATGTTGATTTCAAATGGAGTTTTGCCTAGGCAAAATCCATGTTTTGTTCATAAATTGATAGAAGACTGTGGAAGATACCTTTCCAGGAAAAGCTGAATTTGCAGAAGTGTACAACGGTTTAGTTACCATCTTCAGACACAAAACGTAAAAGATAGCCTATTAGAAACGGAGAAAATCACGAATACAACTCGATAAACCCTACTTAATACAGTATTAAGAATTAAAGTTAGACTTGACAGGTAAGCATTGATGTAGCCCGAGAAGCTACCTGACTAAAGATGTTACGTCCGTTGGTCCGTCCATTAAAATTGTAAGCCGTTTTAATTATTTTTGCTATCTACGTGTTTTAATTTAGTCATATGACATATCTTCTTGTACGAGTCCATTGTTTCTGGGGAAGAGTTTTTTCTCTCAATGTAACAGAATTATATCGACACTGGTAGCAGATATTGTTTTTTTTTTTATCAGAAGATTACATGTTCTTGGTGATATAGGAGTAGAATGCTTCCAGAAATATACTAGCTGTTGAACCCTGTCAAAAGTATTTTTTCTTTAGGTGTTGAAGGTAAAGCCAGGTTACTAACCTATTCCTTTATATCGTCAGAGCCAAGTCTGTAGGCACCACAAATCCCTATCAAATGCGATGTCAAATATTGTAATGCAATTCCACACTACGTGGTCTTCCTCAAACGTGGCTGCTTAACAAACCAGCATCGCAAACGGTTTCGGTCCACGAGCGTTTCCGTGATCACAGAGCTCAGCGCATTTACATCGATCCAGGCGTAGTAATCTCGAGCGCTCACGGCGTGAAGAAAATTGCCGATATTATTCAAGATGACATCTTGTTCCACAGGTGTAGCCAGCTAGAGGGCCATCCAACGAGCTCGCGGGCTGTAAAGTAAATTAAGTGACGTTTTAGGAGAGATTTTCACCAATTAAACCCATTGGAAGGTGCGGGGTCAGGCGGTGGTCAGCGGGGTTATGTCTTCGGGCGACTCTAAGGAAACCGGATCCGCAAAGACGAAGGTCACTATCGGGTGAGTGGGTCAACCCCCCCCCCCCTTGGAGCCCCCTGCTGAGATAAACCCTGCGGCGTCATTTCTCTCGATTGGGGAATTCTCACGTTGGCTACCTCCCACGTTTGTGTTTTTAAATGTAATTGGGTGACGTCAGGCGTGGGAGTGGCCCATCAGTCATTTTCGGTGATTACCTAGGATGGTAATGAGTTGGTTTTAGCAGAGTTATAAGAATGATTGGTTTTTGGTGCGATATTTTTGTTTGTAATACAAATTGGAGTAGCTAGTTACTTTATGTTGATATTTCATGACAATAAGAATTTAATAATAGTTTAACGATGATTGATGGAAAGTGATTTCCCTATATAGTAATTTATTTGTTTTTGTATACTTTCCAGAATTGGAACTAATTTTTAGATCAGCACAAGCTATACTGTCTGTGCTGCACTTCGGGCCTTTAATGCTAAATATATTTTGAATTTAATTCAACAATGGCTTGAAGTCTTTGGTTGAAATATTCTGTGGATTTTTACAGCCATTTTATGGCACGAACAACTTATTTATGATCAATAGTTTTCTTAGTCTGTGGTGTTACTGATTTGTCTGATTTTGTATTCACTGTTTAAAGGTCACAAAATATTCTACATATTCTAATCGTGCACCTAAAGACGAATTCAAATCCCCAAACATTGGATCAAAATTGAAATCTGTATACGTATTTATGTGTTGAGAAAACTAGCTAAAATGTTTTCCACTCGTCTCTAAAATTTTCGCATAGTTGTCAATCCCTTTTTCAAAACCAACTACTTTCCACGATGGGACTTAAATATAAAGAAGTAAAATTTGCAGGAACAAACTGTCAGTTGAAGCATATGTTTCGCAAATGTCACCATATTCCAACAAGGTTCACGCGCGGTCGCGCAGACTCGCACACTCAATGCCGCCTAATACGGCATTCAGAAAGCATAGAGTAGATTCTCGTTAAAAGCGAGTAACGAGGAACGATAGGATCTCGTCGTTAGATCATGACTTTCTCCCGCCATTTCTCCGGTTTACGCGCCAGCCCGCGCTTCTACGTTGCGAGAGGTTCTAATCCTAACGTCCACCCTCACAATCGTTGAAATTCTTCTGCTCAATGATTTGAGAACTGGAACAAGACGTTAGGTAGTAGCTAAAGAAATTGTAAGCTTGTGTTGTTGTTATACATGATACGTTAAGTTGTCTAGAAGGACATTGAAATGTATTTCAAGCACTATATTAGATTTGAGTGAACACCAACCGATAAAAAGGGAACATTTACGTTCCCGCCAAGAAGTTCCATTATACTCGTACTACACCAAAAATTAATTTTCATTCAAAGATGCACCAATTTAAGTTGTAAGATTCTCCAGGTTATTGGTTTATCAAAGATTAATCTACTTTATCAAACCTAAACTGACCACAGCTTAGACAGCAAGTTACGAATGAGTAGAGGTGATGTAGAATGGAGTGGATGGAACGGAAATGTGTATGCTGTACTGACCGAGACCAGCTGTTTTATCTATGACCATTTATTAAGATCCCAATGATCACGAAGAGCTGCTGCTAGGTCAGATTTTACCAAGCTAATCTACTTGCTCAAATACCCTTACACAATTGATGCACCATCAAATCCTTTGTACCTGGGTGGAAAAACGTGACCGACAAAATTACAAACATAATCACACAACAAAAGTACGCTGGACAACCGTTACCCGCATGATGACAGCCGGGGGATCTGCATTTGCTGTCTCCGCTGCAGAGTTGGAGATTGCAGTGATCCAAAGTGTCCCCGTAATTGCGGTCCCTGAGGTTCTGAAGGTGTGTTTTGTTGCAGCGGTGCAGAGAGAGCGAGTCCCTGCGGCGGCTCTTCCTTGGTACCCTGGCGGTCAGTTCTCCTCCCTCACCAATGGCGAGCTTGACGAAGGTATTGTCTAGAATAACTCTAACATTAGCAGCTTAAGTGCTTCCACTTCCCGTGATTCCCTAGAGTGCCGTCGTGCACATGGATTGGTTTCGGGTTGCCGGATTTTCTGAATACCAAAGATGGGTGGGGGTGTAAACTGTCAACCGATTCATGATTGGTACCTGGTACACTTCTCTAGTGTTCCTTTTTCACTACCGGAGGGCAACCAAACATGTGGACTAATGAAGATTTTCCAGAGTCCATAGTCAAAAAACTAGTTTCCAAACAAATCTTGAGGCATTTTCATAATGAACAATTCAGCAGTATTACCATTTAACAAAAACAAATCCTAACACGACTGATCAATCGCGACTATAACGTTATATCCCATGATACAACTAAGGAATCACGGCAAGTGGTCAAATATCTAACAAACTGTTGCTTTATCAAGTGAATCCATGTGCACGCCGCGGTTCGTCACGGGGAGTTGATAAACTGCGGTTGCTAATAGGGTTTATACTAGGCAACACCTTAAGTATTTTTTTGAGATTTTAATGAAAATTGAAGAAAGAACATTATCGTGGTATACATAATCGACTATAGAATTTTACAAAGTTATGTCTCTCATAGTCCTTTTTTAGACAAGCCAACACAAATTTCCATTCAAACTCTGCCCTCCATCACTAACTTCAAAGGTCACCTTATAGGTTATGCGCACACACATCAAAATGAATACAGTTCGAATCCGATAACGGTTGTCACTGGCTGGTATTTGATTATCTGTGTCAATAACAACACCATGAAGTTGTCCAAGTTGCAGCCAAGTGCAGATAGTCAAGGCTGGTGGATTTATTGTCAATGACCCTGCTTGCCGATGCAAATGCTCCTAGGCCTCAGGCTTACTTATGATTGACCTCCTGCATCAGTCATCTCGGCTTTCACTGGCGAACGTCCAATGCTTGTAACTTTCGGTTAAGCGAAGATATCAAATTTTAATGATCACTTGCAAGAACGTGCCTAGAATGCTTTTCAGTTTTAATGGCTTTGGTAGCTTTCTGGGTCGTTTGTCACTAGTTGCTTAGCGCTGGCGTTTTTAATAATTTTTCAGGATGAAGTTACCGTTGAAGTTTAGATCGTCAATAACAAAGGAGTTATGATGTTACAGGAGGAATTATTTAATTGGAATCTCTTCGGTAAAACTAGGCTATGTAACATCTTCTTAGCAGAAGTTACATAACCTTTAGCCAACTTAATAACACTTATGTCATGGTCGGATTTGGTAACCGAGGGTCGTAACCGGGATAGTATACAATAAATAATTATAGCGTGAGAGGTAAACAATTATAATATTTTAAAATATTAAAACTAATAAAACACAATGAATCTGAGTAAAATGGTTATCATATACAATGAATGTATATGCTTAATAAAATGATTAATTCCTTCCACTATATAATATGTAAATTAAATTTAAACTACGCACAAGGTCCTATCACTCAATTACTGTAATGAAATCAAACTCTCCAGGAAGCTGTAATCTAGTACTCCAAAAAATGATAATTTAATACCACTTTCATATCTTTTCCTTCAATTTGCATAATAGTATAAGGGCTTCATTTACATTATTTCTCTTGCTGTTGTTGAGTAAACAATACTAAGCAAGTTCTTCGGTTTCAGCTGTCCAGAGAGGGCGAGTACCACCCTCCCAAGCCCCCGGTTTGCCCGGGCAGTTCTCGCTGACCAACGGCGAGTCCGCTGCTGCCGCTGCCGCCGCGGCTGCTGCTGCTGGTCTCAACGGACATTCCTACCTCAGCAGTTACATCAGCCTGTTACTGCGTGCTGAGCCCTACCCAACATCACGGTACGGCCAGTGTATGCAGCCTAACAACATCATGGGCATCGACAACATCTGTGAACTCGCTGCCAGGCTGCTCTTCTCGGCTGTGGAGTGGGCTCGAAACATACCTTTCTTTCCGGACCTCCAAGTAAGTTTTGTATCTCCTATGGCACCTTAAATACTTAGGGTTATTTCACTTCGGTAAGAGTTTAAGATATCATTATAGAATCATCCTTGTAAACTAGACGATTGATTTAATTGCATCTTTTCAAGTCAAAAATGAATATGGGTATCATGACACTTAGGCTTGAAGCTTTAGTCAGCTACTTAGACTGAACCAGGGCGCGCAAAAGATAGTGTTTAGAGGATGAGCCTAGATGTTGTATTGATTTTGAAATAAACCAGAATTACTATGACTTACATCAGGTAATGTACACAAGTAAATACATAACATCTTTGCTGAAGAAACTAGAAGAAGCTAGATCTTACTGGGTATTTCAAAGTCTCTTGTCAACTAAAACTCCTTTTATCCAACTTGTATTTAGAATGTTTTGCAACATTTTCACACCATATACCAATCTTGATTCAGCTGTTGAATTGATTATTTAAATGATTCATTCTATTTCTCGAAGTTTTGGGAGCATTATCCGAGTTGAACATCGATCAGTTTACTAGAGGTGTTTAGAAAGTTTAACTACTATTTAGAATTAACATAAGCTGTATATGTAAGATGCTGTACATGCAGGATCGCTTACCGTTGGACATCATCCTGTCATGCAAATGTTGTGCAATTTACGACGACTTGTTGGTGGCATCTAGCCAACCGTGTGTCGGTCTCTGTGCTTTCTTCCTAGAGCCTTCACTTCGTTGTCTTATGTATATGTCCAACCCGTTCACACGTTTGTCAATAATCAGTAATCAAATCACCACCAAACCATGCCCTATCATCAACGGCATTCATTGATGATTTCTACCTCCACGCATTCTTATGCGGACGTTGTGTACTATAATAGTTGTTGTCCTAGTTGTGACTACCTTGCCAGCCCTAATCTCAAGCGTTGCTAAAAATTCTCTAAGTTGTTCTTCTAGTGTATGCATTAAATACAAGTGTTTTAACCTAGTTCTATGCATGTGGTTTAGCATTATCTTTGCTTCTTGGTTTCGCAAGTAAATATTCACCAGAAAATTCAATTGTTGTTCCCTACTGGCCCTCCTTTGCTTTGGTTTGCTGGATACGTTCCACAGGCCTGATGTTCATGTATGCTGGCAAATCAAAGCAAAAGAAGACCAAAATCTTTAAAAATTATATTAGGTTGGCAATAGTAAGACTATTTAAGAGATGTAATCTGCTTCTGTGGCACTGGCATTTCATCTGAGCTTTGAATCATATGTTTCAGATTCGCCATATTCTTTCTAGGATGCATTACCCCAGCTGCTTGTTAATTTACACATTTTCCTCTTTGCAGGTGACGGACCAAGTGGCCTTGCTGAGACTGGTGTGGAGCGAGCTCTTCGTACTCAACGCCTCGCAGTGTTCCATGCCTCTACATGTCGCCCCGTTGCTGGCTGCCGCGGGTCTTCATGCCTCCCCGATGGCAGCGGACCGTGTCGTAGCCTTCATGGACCACATACGGATATTCCAGGAACAAGTGGAGAAGCTGAAGGCGTTACATGTCGACTCGGCGGAATACAGCTGTCTCAAAGCAATCGTCCTCTTTACCACAGGTATGTTGAGTTTAGAACGTATAAAAAATTCTTCTGACGAACACGTACGTGAACGTGTGTTACAAACGGTGATAAATTGTCTGTTGGTCACTTTAGGTGAGTAGATTGTAAAGACGGACAGTGGGGGAAATGCCAAAGATTAATTTACCTAAAAGCCTTCTCTTCTTGACAGAAAAATCACGTGGTATCATTCTAAGCTTACCAAGACATCTCTTTCTTTATCTTTTACAATATAATTGGTCGCAAGTATTCCGGCGTCATAAACTTATTCCTCCTTCATAGAACGTATGATCCCCCACGGTCCAGCGGCCCAGCACCCCCATAACTTCCCACCGCTCCCTCGGTGACAGCCCTACAACGGCTACCGTGATATTATCCTCTAGCGTACTGCCGACCGGCCCTATAAACCAAGCGGCTGTTGTTTTCGTGGAGGTAGCTTATGGGGCACGGATTTGCACACAATGGCCAGCGATGTTCACCTTATCAGCTGCGCGCATCTCCAGATCGCACTGAGCACGTCGCATGAATAACTTTATAATATATAGCCGCGCGCACGGCGACTTTATGGGATGCGCCAGTCGCAATTACTCCCGGCAATAATTGAGTCCCTTCACGAGTGTTCTTGTTACTCACGATAGCATCGCGCCTGCGAAATTCCACCCACGTATCGTCAATGTTCGCGGGGTTTCCCTTGTCTAGCCGACAAAGAAGTGGGCTACTGAATTTGCATGCAGAGGATAGAGGTTGGTAAAAAAGTAAAACGCTTCGTGAGTCTTGACCATGGATAAGACAAGAAACCTTGGTCATTTGCAAATAGTAGGGTCCATGACCCTTGAAGGATTTGACTGGTTGACACTTTGGGGGATTGGAACAGTTAACTTAATTATTTTTTCATTATTACAGACATTAAGGTATAATTATCCGGAGATTATAGGTAATTTAACCATTGGCTTTAGCTTGACAGGAATCTTTTTTCAGGTAAAAAAAAAACATTAGTGTTTGTGAAAAAGGAATGCAAGGTTCTCTTGCCCAACAATTGTTTTGGTGGTTGCAATTTTCGGTTTGACCAATTCATTACAGGGAATATATAAGGACCTTGTTATGTTAACCATCTCTGCTACAGTACTAAAGCTTTTTAAAGAACCCCCACAAGGGAATACATCAAGAAAGATACATAAATACAACTCACCAAAGAAACAAGTTTCCAGTATATTTTAGCACACAAATCATTCTCAAACTTATAATTACCTGGAAGTCCTTTCTTAAACAAATCAAGCTTATATCTGTCCCTTCTTACTTCAGCTTAATGTATCACACCAACTTTATTTTTCTTTCAGTTTTTTTGTAATTTTTTTTTAATAACCTAAATTAGAGCAGAGCTCATGTATAAAAACGAAAAGTATTAAACTCAATGGATGGAAGGAAAAGGGGTTGGCGGAGTTGAAAGACGAAAGTGACATCTTGCTCTCTGCGGTATTCATGATATTCGGTGACAAGAATCAGCAAACAAGATGTCCGGCAGTGGACAGTAGCTTACAATCTGCCGGACACGTCTTTCAACGCTATCTCCCCACACTGCAGTAACTCTTAACTCTAACTCCCCATTACTGGGCGTGCCTCATTACTTGTCTTGGCTTCTGTCTTTGTCACTGTCTGCGGCACCGACAGCCAAACCTACTTACCCTACCTGTTCCTTGTTCTATTTATTTACTTCAGATGTTAGCACTTAAAAACATTGGATTTTTAATAGTCTGCTGCTTTTGGATGATCCTGAACGACGCTTTGTGACAATCCACGTTTTTTGAAAGCAAAAAAACTATTGATAGAAGAAAACTAACGTTCCATCGTGTTTTGTGTTTTTCTGCGCCATTGGAAGTTTTGACACATTTTGAGAGGGGACGATCTAATTCTGGTTTTGTTAACATCTAAAGATGTCTTTTTGTTGGTTTGCGCCATTAATTGTTCAACATATAGCCAAATGATGGCATTAGGATCCATCAATTCCGTAGAATGAATCCACCAATCTTCAGATTTTAAGGTGAGCACTTCCAATCGGTGACCCAGACCAGTGGTAGCTGTTACCTCTGTTGGTTTCTAAATTATATGTTTTTTGTTGTTGTTTTTTCGGGGGGGGGGGGGACAAGTAAGATAATGCGTTGTCAGACCGAAAACTAAAGTATGGGAATACAGTAGGGTATTTAGTTCTTTATGCTCATTAGGTAGAAATACCTGAACCGAAGTAAATGTAGTCTTCTCATCTTTTGATTCTTCAACTGCACGATATGTCATTGCGTTATCTTTCAAGTAGGAGCTTTAAATACCTGTCATAGATAACCATAGATAAACACCTGATTTATAATGCTACAGACACCCAGTAAGTAAAAAATAGCACAGCTGGATCATAGCCTTAGCGATTCATATCTGGCCGATGATTAAATTTCTCACGGCAAATGTTTGATTTACACCGTCAGAAGGATCTAGTTAGGCAAGTTTCCCAACCTGTAAAAGTAAATCGTGAAACATCGCCCATCGGGGGTATAATTTCACCGAATCTACCGGTAATGGCCGAAGCGGACTCTACAATCTACAAATTCCAGATAATTTTACGGTTTCCTCAAAACTCTGATTGTTATTGGGTGATTTGTGCTCAGTACTAAACAGCGGACCACCGATCGACCCTTCGATCATTTTCTACCGAGTACGATTACCATAAATCGCGAGCTTGGAGGCTAACAAGACCAACGGTATCCGATCGAAAATTGAATTTCGCAGTGCGAATGAGTTTGTGATTCCACGAGTCTGAAAAACAACCGGTCACGAGGCGAGAAGTTAAACCGGGTCAACGATTCGACCAAACAAACCGAGTGATTAATATCTCCACACAAACACACACACGTAGAAACACACACTAGTGGGTGGGTAGGGTAGTTGCCACACACTGAAGCTTTATCAGATAGGCCTAGCGAGTAGATTACCCAACAGTGATCTGGTTCCGCTATTGTCCGCGTGCAATATGGCGCCTCAGGCTGTAGGCTACGGAGGCTAAACGACAAGTTGTTGGGAAACATAGACTTTTCTTGTTATGGGAGGGTTAGTTTAGAGTCTAGAAGTTCTGTAACATTTTCTGGGTCAGAACCCGTTAGATGGCTCCAATTGGGTCGTGTTAGGTTAATTCATTTGTATGGTATATGGTCTGGGCCTATGTATTTGGGATACGAGACATATTATCTATTGTGCATGATGCAATTGTAATAACAGTCCTAAACTAAGCTTAACATTTAACTGATGTGGGTACAGCTAGCGGATTGTGAATACAGATATTGTCTAGTGGTTGATCACAAAAATGTATATTATTCAGCCATGCTTCCATGTGAACCTTGATGAAAGGAAGATCGAATTGTCTTCTAAATTTGCTCTAGAACTAAATTTAAGTTTCAAAATAGGATTGGCTGCAATACCTATTGATTGTATATAAAGGCAGACAAATCATCTATGCCAATCAAACATCCATCACAATCTGTTTTCAGTAGCAAATCTTTAGAATTACATATTTTGTGTCCAATCTCTAACCTACTTTACTTACTACAGCATCTACGTATTTCTCAGATCCATATCAGGCTCCAAGCAGGATTTAATTCCAAATTAATTTCTCGCTGGAATATTTTAACATTTTCTTTCAAATAGAATTGCAGAGTGGCCATATTAGTGCTTCCAAAAGGAACAATCTAAAAGATGAAGAATAACCTTAGAGAAAATACTTTCCAAGTAGGGCCTAGTAATAGTGAAAATTGAATTATCTTGGTGGCAACAATCAGAAACACCACTATTTCTTTTACCCAAACATCATAGTCAGGATGACACTTGAAGTTTGTTAAAATATTTAAAATATGTAAACAATTTGCAATATCTTATAAATTTCAATTTATTTCTTACAAACTTGTCTGTAATCAGTACAATGCCTACTCGACGATTACTATTTGTATTGAAGTTCATGGGTCTTTCTGCATATCTAGCAATACTTGCTTCATCGAAGGAACCAATTTTCTTCAAGAAAGCTCCCAGCCAAAGCATGGAGAACGTGCGAGTGACATCAGTATATAGAGGGGGGAGGGGGTCACGACTTGTCTTGGAGTGGTGCCCATTGTGTTACTCATACATCCACTTTATTAATGGCTCCCCCTTTAATTTGTTATTTATCACAGCCTTTTATTTCCTCGAGTTATTTATGCGCCATCTCTCTCTTGGACATTCTGACATTCCTTAAATGTTCTTGTAGAACTCCATGTGTTTGTACATTCCTGGTAATGTCACATGATCTCGCAGTTTGTTGTAGGTTAGGTTCTGCTATATAGGTCATGGTTCGCGTGGTAACCGTTATCCATATGTCTCTTTCTGTCATAGCAATGATTTGCAATAGATTTTTCAACTTTTGATGTATGGTTATTGAGTTTAATCCTGTTAGTCTCTTCCGTGTTCGTGATGTAAGATGGGGCGCGGCCAGTCTAGTGGTTTTAGAGTGAAACTTCAGTCCTGGAGTCACATGTTCAAATCCCGCCAATTACATTGAGCTTTATGATAATCAAGTGATAAAGTACTGTGATTCTAGCTCACTTTTTGATCAATTATCAATTATCAATTAGTTAAGATAGGGACGCCACTATGTGCGTATTTGAACCCAAATATGAGTGAAGGATGAGTGTAGGATGAGTGGCGCGATCTTGTAGTCTTGTTAGTGACTAAGGCCGACATGTTCCTTAGACACAGCTGTTAATTAATAGCCCATACAGCTAATGGCAACTAAGGGACCTACAGTTTATAGTGGAATCCGAACCACATTTTTCCTTGTAATTTACGAATTGGTCTAATTATCAGGATAGTACTGCGGATAGTCGTAGTACTCACTAGTGCGGACGTTAATCCACACCAGGGAGCATCGCATCCACAGTGCATCCCTATAAATATCCACAATGATTATGTATCATTACCCAGGACATAATAGA